AATTGGCGGCATGATGCGTTCCATCAGAATATACGACGACCATTCAGGATGAGAAACAGATGATAAAAAGTCGGGAATTTCGTCACCATAGATATTATGTCCGCCGCCCTCCAGGGATGGCTTCAGAATAAAACGTGCCGATTCCTTAGGGTCAGTAGCCAATTTCCGAGCATGCAATCCAGCAGGAGATTCATCGAGAGGATAGACAGGAACGAAGGTCGCCCTAACAGCAGCTGCCTTTTCAGCAGACAAAAAGCGCTCAAGGGCACCAGGTGCAGTTAGTGCTTGTTGCACCTTCTTGAATGTAGATATATGGGAGAGAATAGAGGGACACTTGATAGCAGTCGACTTTTCAAGTTGTAGACGTGCTTGGCAGCCTGTAACATCGTATTCATGCGTTTCGTAGCCGGCCCTCATATAAACAACCGAAATTTCCACAGGTGACTTTGATTTCATCCATGGAGGATGAAACAATAACTGACGGCTATCCGTAAGCGACGTGTCTCGGAGGATGTCTCCCCAGTTGAGTCTATATGCAGGAACCGGCTCGTCTCGATCCCATAGGGCATATTCTATCGGCCTTTCGTCTGCAATGTTGAAATTGTTAGGTTGCACGATGAATAGAACGGCGGTTTGTTGTGCTGATCGGGACTTTGGTGAACCATAGACAGCATGAGCTGATGCCAGACAAGACGCGATGCCTCCAATGTTATTGTTCGGTGGCAAAGACTTCATCTCAATCTTCTCTTTTCCACGCTGCTCTTGACCAAGATCATATTCCCCAATGCGGGTCAGGTAGCGATGCATATCAGCGACTCTGTTCGCATGACTCCCACCCGCACATGAAAAGGCATTGAACTCGACTTGCTTCAGACTACTTTCAAAGATAGACCGGGGAGATACTGATATACTTTCGTCATTATCATTGAGATGAAGCATGTAATCAGAGCGAAAGATCCCAGCTGAGATGTTCTGGACGATCCCCGCCTTTTTGGTCTCTTCGTAAATCCCCCACAATGCACGCGCAAGGGGCTCAACGGGGATGAGGTCTTTCGTGACGCTGTAGAGCCACTTCTCATCTTCGGCAATGGCACTGTAGAGCTCGTTGTATACTTTTTGCAGATCGATTGCACGGTTGAACTGTGTTCGTGGAAACGCTGTTGGAAATACACTGACGCTTACTGGGTACGACAGTACGCTGTGGTCCTCTTCTGATGGCATCAGTTTCAAGAGAAACCCATGGTTTATTTGCCAGTCTTTTATTTGGTCGAGTAGGTTCGTCATCTGATCTTCGCTTGACTCGAAATATCTCGTGTCGATGCTTCGTGAGGCCATTATTTGGTGTAGTACGTATTGAAGTGAAATTGACCACAATTAGAAATGGATTGTAGGTTTGTAGGTTTGATGCAGTGCTGTTTAAAGGGAATAAATGGCTTATATCGGTGGAGTGAAGATAGAAGAAGGCGGATTCGAGAGAAATGACCTGTTGTCGTAACTGATGGGGCGGCCCCAGCGGCTTGTGGGCCGCCGCCCAAAGGCTTGCGTGTGGCGTGCAGAGGTATTAAATGAGCTTAGTATATAACCTTGACTCGTAGAGCAAGATGCCTCAGTTCATCGAAAGTGTCTCACTCAACAGTCGGAAGCATAGCCGAGCAAAATCCCCGGGATTCCAATTCCCTGCGGTACTGTAGATACGGATCCCCGCACTTTCTCCAACAGATCCGGCGATGTACCCGGAAATAAGTACAGAAGAATATAAATAAGCCGGGTCAAGGGAATTTGACAATAGAAACTTGTACTGTGATAATACTGTGTTTCTTATGGCTTAATCAGTACCAAAGTAGATAATATTTTTGAGTTTCTCACGATTGTCCTGCATCTATATTATGGGCCGGCATGACAGCTCCCCCGGGCCGGGCCTGGGTAAATCTGGGGGAGTACTTCCCCGCGGTCTTCGTCGCCGGGTTTGTTTGCGTTGTTATAGGATCATGTGCTGGCAACTATTATATTGAGAATATGTTAGATAGTGGAATAACAGTGCTTCACCTATGGATTATCTATGATCGCGCGATTGCGGTACATGGAGTGAAGATACCCGAGCAACTTAGGGGCATAGAGGGTCATTACATGCTGGACCCAAAGAAGGATCCACCGTCAGATTGCAAAATGCCAGCAAGAATCAATTGAGCAAGAACTACAGAGTACAAATACATTAGAAGTGCTACTATAACGAGGAGGGAAGAGTCAGAGTTCCCGGGCCGGTGAGCGATAAGACGTTGCCCCACCACTTTACACACTTTACATAAGTGCGGGAGGTTCCTTGACATTCAACTCTTCCAAGACACTCATCTGTTACTCACAATCACAATGCCGTCCCTTCAAGAGAGCAAATTGGCCTTCATCGGCGGTGGCAACATGGCCGCCGCCATTATCGGCGGTCTGGTTAGCAAGGGCGTCAACAAGCAGAACATCTGCGTCTCCGAGCCGTGGGATGTCAATCGCGAGAAAATGGCCGCCCTGGGTGTGCGCACCACCACCTCCAACGTCGAGGCGGGTGGCGATGCCGACCTTATTATCATTGCCGTCAAGCCGCAGGTCACAAAGGGCGTGTGCGAGGAGCTTGGTGCCGCTTGGTCGCCGCGCGAGTCATTGCCCGTGGTGGCCAGCATTGCCGCCGGTATTACCCTCGACAGCCTGAAGGCCTGGCTCAAGTCAAGCGATGGACGTACCGCCCACACTGTTCGCGTCATGCCCAACACCCCCGCGCTGGTCAGCGAGGGTGCTTCGGGTGTTTACGCCAGCGATGATGTCACCCCGGCTGAGAAGGAGCTTGTCAATGCTATGCTCGGAAGTGTCAGCAAGGCAACTGAGTGGGTTGAACGTGAAGACCTGCTCGATGTTGTTACTGGCTTGTCCGGTGAGTTTCCTACGTCTGCCCCGTAATCTCCAAATTCATACCCAACTGACCCTGTTAGGATCCGGCCCTGCCTACTTCTTTGCTATGGTTGAGCACCTTGTTGCAAGTGCTACTGCTCTTGGTTTGCCCGAAGAACAGGCCACGCGCCTTGCCACGCAGACCTGTCTTGGTGCGGGTAAGATGCTGGTTGAGAGCGCCGACAGCCCTAGCCAGCTGCGCAAGAATGTCACTAGCCCCAACGGCACTACACATGCTGCCCTCATGAGCTTCGAGTCTCTCAACTTCAAGGAGATTGTCGACAAGTCTGTCCAGGCTGCGACTGCGCGGTCTGCCGAGCTGGGAAAACAATAAAATCGGTGTTTTGGAATTACACAGCTAGACCTTTTGTAACGCTATTCTCAACGCTTCATGAAGATCAAATCAATGACCATCAACTCCAAATCCACCTCAATTAAGCTGGACATTGAACTTTCGTAGATCGCTTCTCGAAAGCTAAGGTGGCCCGTGCGCGCTATCGCCTTCCGCACGAAGCTGAGCTTCTTTCTCCGGAGTCAAGTATGTGAACATGGTGTCCTTTTGGCCCTGGAAGGTGAGTTTTGGCCTCAGATATCAGTTCAAATTGGCAGCCATCACTGACATAGTCTAGGGCGATGACAACTCAGCGGCTTCTTTCGAGAAGACCCTATCTTCGCTGTCGACAAAGATCGCCCAGGCGACCACGCGACTGGACCAACAACGGCAATCCTCGCGGCGCTTCAAAGCCCTCTGGACGCTTTATTCGACGTTCGCCTATTTATTCTATACCATCATCCTTGCCTTGATATTGGGATGGGAAAGCTGGGGAGTCAAGGAATACGGAGCTATCGGGGGTGGGCCAGTCCTGTATGTGCTCCTACGTGCTCCGTCATTCCGTACCTACGAACGATGCTGACATCTACTTTTTATATAGGATCTATGCAGTTCGGACCATAAGCTCCAAGGCTTTCAACTACCGCATCAACCGTCTCCAACGCCACCTTGACGACCTCCACAAGCAGCGCGAGCAGACAATCGAGAAGCTGAAGGTTGCCACCAAGTACAACTCCACCCAGCAACTACTGGAGAAATACGGCGGCGAGTCTCCCAAGCCGTCACCCAATCCGAAGGGAGCCGGCGAGAAAGGCAAGCCTGCCCAGCAGCCACAACAACCCTTCGCCCGCACTGGTCTCCCACCACCACCCACCGCCAACATCCGACGTTCCCCTTCCTCCCCTCAAACCCCGAACAATGCGCCACCACCTCGACCTCCATCCCCTCCGCAGGAGCTAGCCCACGGCACCCCGCAACCCCAGCAACCATCGTTCGCCCCTTCCCCTTACCCCCAATCCCCAGCCGAACAGGCCGAATTCGCACCCAACGCATACTCGAACAACAACGGCCAAGGTATCGAGCAACCGCACTGGTACGACCGTCTCCTGGATGTCCTCCTTGGCGAAGATGAAACCCAACCTCGCAACCGGATGGCGATGATTTGCACCAGCTGCCGGCTTGTAAACGGCCAAGCACCCCCCGGGATCAAGACACCGGAAGAGCTCGGCCGCTGGCGTTGTGGAAGCTGTGGCGCCTGGAATGGAAGTGAGAGCGAAACCAGCCAGATGCTCACTAGCTTGCGTCAGGAGACCGCGCCAGCCGAGGGAACTTGGGAGCCCGTGTCGAAGGCCGATGCGGATCCTCAGTCGTCTGAGAGTGTGGATGAGGCGGTCATGGTCCCTTCGAGTGAGGGTGAGCAGGCGGAATCTGGTGGATCAGATGCGGACGCGCGTGAACTGGACGAGGAACCCACCACCGAGCCTGTGCGACGTTCTAAGCGTGGTGGAAAAGGGAACAAGGCGAAGTAGTAAAATACTTAGCGACTTAACTTTAGTACAGCTAGGTTTCTAGCTTCGAAACAACCCGTGTATTCTCATATATGCCACATCAGGCAAATCAATTCTCGAACTAAAACGAATGCTATCCAAAATACTCCCTGGCCCCTCGCAGTGCAAGTCAAATCATCAACCATATCAAGGAACCACAATGCGGAGACCGATTATCCATCATAACATCATGACGCTTCAACCAAAGGATTCACCTTCAGACGCTCAATCACATCCAGAGCAACCTTAACCTCAGCTTCCTCAGCCGAAGCATAACCCTCCACGAGCGCAATCTCAGTCTTATTCACAATAGCCGAACACCGATACGTAGCCGGCTGCCCCTTAACCTCGATCCTCTTCTTCTTGAACACCAATGTGCCCGCACCCTTCACCATAGACTGCGCAATGTTCCGCGGATGCACGACATTGACTCCATCGGCGATAACTCGCCGCACATAGGATAACAACCCGAGTCGTTCGATGAATGAATTGCAAACGTCTAGGTTCCCACCTGAGTCAACAAACATAGCACCGAGTACACTCTCAATGATATCAGAGAAGAACTTGTCGGCCGCTAGACGCGCGAATAATTCCCACGGGTACTCGGCCTCATGGTTCAGCGCATGATGGATCTGATCCCGGAGCGCATGATACCGCTGCACACAAGCCTCGCGCGCATCTGTGATATTCGGACCGTGAGAACGGAGGAAGAGCCAGAGATGGATCTGGTCGGACCGGGGCGCATGGCTGAACCTCCCATCTGTTGCGAACTGGGGCTCGCTGGGAGAGTCCTCGTATACAGCCAAATCCATACACAGGAATGCGAGCAGATTCGCATTGACTACGGAGTGTTTGAGGATGGTCATGGCGCCTTGGTCCATTTTTACCGGGTGGTTTGGGAAGACTGCCATGACGACCATGTCGAGTACGGCGTCGCCGAGGAATTCTAGCCGTTGGTAGGATTGGGTTGAGAGGTCGTATTCGCAGGATGGGTGGGTGAGGGCTTCCGTTAGGAGCTTTGGGTCGTTGAATGTGTAGCCGATTAGCTTTGCGAGGCGGTGTTCGTCTATGAGGTTGCTGACGCCTTTGCCGGCGGGCACGATTGCTGGGGAGATTTCGCTTGTGAAGAGGGTTATTTCTGGGAGGAATCTGTGGAGGCAGGCTTGGGCTTTGTGGATTCCGCCGTCCATGTATGCTGCGCCGATTAGGGATTCGATTACGTCTGCTAGGACTTTTGTTGACATGCGCCGTTTGGTTGTTGGTTGGGCTTTTTTGGCTGAGATTAATGGGGCGGTCCATCTGCGTGGTGTGAATCGGTCTGTTAGGATGAACATGTCGATTCCGGTGTCTAGGGCTGCACGGGCGAGGCGGCTGTTTTGGATGAGCTTGTCTCGGCTCTCGGAGAGATACCCTTCGTGCCAGTTGGTGTTTCGGAAAAAGAGCTGGCAGCTAACTGTGAACTTGAGCACTGAATCACCGAAGAATTCGTAACGCTGGTAATTGGTGGTGGCCTGTGCGATGGGCGTGCTGATTGCCGTGATGACATGGCTGATGTCTCTGATTCCTACACCCTTAAGAATGGTGTCATTCAGTCGATGGGCTACTAATGAGGCCTGGAGACGGTCGAGGATGGCAGATATGAAAAGGCCGAAGATTGCCTGCCTGAGAGGTAGCTTGTCAACGGTAACAGCGGCTGCAGGCATGGTGTACAGCTTCTTCACTGAATCTGCATCTCCATCATCCATATTGACGGCGCGCATCTGGAGTAAATTACGACGCCTGGGAAGTGGCCGACATTCCACCTCGACCGGGGTTGATTTGGTGATCTGGCTGGGGACAATCCATCTGACAAATGTGCGTGGCTCGGTGAATTTTCCGTGATCGCGAATGATGCCTGAAGGTACATTGCCTTGGTGATACAGGTCCAAGGATGATTCTCTTCCATCATGGCAATTCAGCCATTCCTGCAATTGTTGGCATGGGACGCTAGGAGCGAAGAGGACGAGGAAGTCTCGCTCTGGTCCCCGCTCCCGCGAGCTAGGCGCTTGAAGGTAGAGCGCGGTTGTCTTTCTCATTTCATTCAGCGTTTGTGCTGAGGCATCGACCACTGGCACCGGTTGATCAAACGATAGGAATAAAGTAGTCTCAACCTCCAAGTAAAGAGTAATGGGACTTGGCATCGGCATCAGGATCGGCAAAATCATGGAGATTGCTAGATTTGGATCTACGGAGCCATCACGATCCACGCGCAGGCGTGTCTCGTAAAGCTTACCTGAAGTCCACCCGTGTGCAATGTCGACGAGCGGGTCATATTGTTCCAAAGCATCCACCATAGAGGGCAGAGTCTCTTTATCGCTGAATCTGAGCTCTGCCTTTCTGGTCAGTGGCAGAAGGTTGTCGTTGACCAATCCATACTCATACAGAGCTCGATAAGCGTGGAATGCAGTCTCTTTTCGGGCTGCGCGCTCTGTAAGCCACCACTTCCTTCCCTGGGTTCGCCTCACGGCGGGGTGAACAGAGCTTGGGAGAGTGACCGTGGCTCGCTTCAGACCTGAAATATTCTCTTCAAATGAGAATAACGGACGATTATCGACGTACTCATCGACTGGCAAGACGGAGCAGAAATGGTGCAAATGCTGGATTGCTTCGTTGGCCGTCAATACGGCACTACAACAAGGGTTAGCGAAGACCTTAAGAAACAGCATCAAATACTTGCTGTGTTTTTTCGATGAAAAGCCTTTCAGAGACTATTTCGTCGATACTTTCCAGTTGCAAAGCTTCTCTGCGCAACCTCTGATCATCCTGGTATGCCTGAATCATTGCTTGCTCCAACGCAACCCACTTTGGTAAATCCAATGCCATGTCGTCCCTCGAGATCATCATAGCGTATGTTGATTTCTGATGCCGAGCACGACCCCTCCGCTGTACAAACGACTTCACGTTGCCGGGCTTGTCAAAACAAATGACGAAGCTGCAGGAACTCATGTCTATCCCTTCTTCGAGAACATCGGTCGTGACAATCAGGTTCTTGCGTCCTGCCTTGAACTCATCAAGAGTGTCTCGTTGCATATCTCGATGGAGTAAGTCGCCGAGGGATTCTTTGCGGTGTCTGTTTGTAGACCACCCAACATACGCAGCACACTGAAAGCGATTCTGTGTTGCTGGAAGTATGGACAGCATACGGGCCAACACACTGACAGTTGCTCTCCGTTTGACAAAAATCAAACCTGAGAACTCAGGTTGGTCCACTTTTACCAAAAATTCAATCACTTTCTCCAGTTTATGGGAGGATTGATTGGCTTCATGGATGCTCATGTCTCTGAGAGGCATCCCATCCAGCAATTCCAAAAGATGTACCTTCTCCAACTGGCTGCAATCTAACAGTGCGCTAGCATCATTGATTGAATTTCGGAAGTGGTCAATCGAAGCACCTATGTAGTAATCGACTGCCGCGCCACCCAACTCTTCGTAGATGTGGCGGCTGCCTTCCACGAACTTCCTCAGCTGCTCGTTGCAGTACGTCTTGCCTGATTCTAGGACCTTTTGTAATTCCAATGTTTTTCCTTCTTCGCGGAGCGCCTCGATGTAAGGGTCCTCTTGTATGTTGTAGGACATATAGCATTGGAGCAGGGGTTGAATAAATCTGCTACCGTGGCCGTAGTTATCTTCAATGCACGGATAGTAATCAATACGCTCTAGCTGAGGATGGTGGGTATTTTCCAACAATTCGGAGCGATGGACTTTTGGGGTCTTGCAAACTGCGTTCAAGTTGGCTTCAATCATTCTACAGTTGAAGGTCAGCAACTCCAACCCAATACATCATTCGCTCAGAGGGTATATTTACTCAAGCTCTTTTGGATCCGACCGAACGATTGGACTGGCAGTTAGCCCCAAGATTTGAGGTACAGCAGCAGGTCCCGAGTTCTTCAGAATTGGATGATAATGATTCTGCATGATTTTGTTTGCTGGATGATGTCTCATGCAATGGTGCGCTATGGTACATATTAGATAGGTAACTGTGCCAATGGTTGCAAGCTTGAACATACCTTCGTCGAAGACAAGGAGGGCAATCTGAGACATTTTAACAAAGCCATGGGTAAGAGCATCTGAAAGAATGGCATGGGTTGCGACAGCCACTCGAACATCCTGGAGTACCTCATTCCAGATAGACTGCTCTGTCCACAACTCAACATTGTCCAAGCCAGTCAAAACTTTGGTCTTGACAGATGGAATTTGCCGACTGATAACCTCATGCTGTTGCAAAGCCAGAGCCACTGTCGGCACAAGAAACCAGATCATCTGTGGATTGTATCAGTATGGCAGAGCTATGGGAATAAATAATCCGAACGAATCACCTTGTCTGGAGAGCAGGTTTCAAGCTCGATGAGCATGCGCAGAACGGCACTAACCAAGTTAGACGGGCGTTTCTTCAAGAATGTAGCGACAAATGGGCATACATATGGGTCTTGCCACTGCCGGTATCCATCTATCTCAAGTTAGTATTTCATTGTGATCAAAACTCGGGCAAACAAGCATACCGCGATAATGATGTTCTCTTTGCGGCTAGCGTCAAGCATCTCCAGCTGGTATTCGCGCGGCCGGTAGGCAGCGCCACCCCCCGCGCCTGTCAAGGCCATGGTTAAAAAAGTCACCCTTGTGACGAAAGGCCAGAATATGGTCGCAGAACATCAATATGGCGCGGACGAGAAGAAGATGAGAGAGTTGTTTGGTGGGGGCGCTAGCGCGGCCGCTAGCCGTTATGGCGTTAGACCAATCAGCGTCGAGCGGCACGAGTATGAGCCTCACATGGCAGTCTCTTAGTTATTAGAAGCATTTACCAAATCATAAAACTGGGACTATATTCATGATTCATGTCCTGCACTTCCAGAGCTGTCAGAAGTTGACCAGCCGGTTAACTTGGTGATACCCCGTCGAAGTGTTTCAACACATGAGCGGAAGACGGGTTTCATTACTATGAGCGAACCGCAAATTATAGCCGTGTTCAATTCAAGAATTGCGAAAACCAATGACAGTGCGCTGCCGTCTGTATCCGCAGATAAATTAGTTCAAGTTCAATTCTGTTTCCTTCGCGGTACTCACAGGTGAGATCATCAGTGTGATAGTTCTTAAGCTGGATTATACGCAATACACTGAAGACACAAACTCTGTGTAGCTCACTATTAGTGACAATATCCAAAAGAGGTAGCATCGACTCACAGGAAGCCCACTGTAAACAGAAATGTCAGTTCTATCTTCTCTTGGAGAGGCATTTGAAGCCTCCAGACCACTGGAAGAGGTAATAGAACAATGACGACGTTTTCCACGGTCGATAAACTGCCAATGATGATGAAGAACGTCGTTTGCCCTTCCATACAATGGCCCTCAATGTGCTTGATCCAGAAATACTGAACAGGCCAGCATTGAAAGATGTTTCCTATAAGTCCTGTAATTCCCCATGCAACCACAAATACAATAACTGCAGTAGCAGCTCGTCGGAACCAAGTGACGGCACCGAGGAGCTTGCGAAGCAAGATAACGATGGAGACCTTAACGAAAACCTGGGCGGGTGGCCAAAATTTGGTCAAGATCCAGTTGCTCTAAACGAACAAATGTTAGATTTTGCTATATCATGCGATGGGATACGAGGAGCTTACTAGGGTGATGTTCAGGCGCTCCTCTGCTGGTAAACTCCAAATACTGCCTCCAACCCAGATTCCATGGAAGGCGGCTACAATAACGCTGTTAGAAAGACCTGGTTGTATGGTGAAACGTGAAACCTTAAGCGTCCCGGCCTCTGGGCACATACTCACAATATACTATGCAGCTCGCTACACCATAGGTGCAAATGAGACCTGCTCCCATCAATATGTCTTCAGCCCGCAATCCACGGAGGACCTTGATGCGGGAGTAAATCCGCAACAGATAAAATGCAGTCGCTGTACTTGTCGCAACGATTGGCACGACAATCAAAACAATTTTCCAGTGATCTGTTTGATCGGGCATGTCTCTTTCGTCCCCAGTTCAGCGATACATCCCGGGTGGTATATCAGATCCGTAGACGTTAATACCGTCGGGGATGGCTCATAACTTGCTTTCGTGAAAACTCTTTGGCAGAAGGCAGTAGGCGAAGCAAGAAGTGGCGTTCAAACTGTAGATTTGTACGTCGAAAAATGTTGATGTCATTTGTATTTTGATTTGAAGTATCTTCCACGCCAATCAGGCTGGACCTTGGTTCCGTCAAAGCTTCAAAGGTGGTTCCGTGGATCCCACCCCGTGGCCCTGGTTTTATGTCAGCTTGCAAAAGATCAATGGACGCGCAGTTAACGGAGCGACTTATGAAGCTGCATCTTTTTGCCTTTCACCACGCCATCCAGATCTACTTCCTCACTCACTCGCCATCACAATCAGATGATAGGAAACCTTTGGCTGCTGAAGATGTTCTATTCCAAGTCGATCAAGTAGCAATCAATTTACTCGTGATCAAGGCGAGGAGGCGAAGCCTAAAAGCTTGGTATTGTCTGATCAACAAACTACCTCTATCATGTGGCCCTCATTGCATCTTGCCAGCCAAGTTTGAAAAAGAGGGACTTTTGGGCTCGTTGGTGGAGTCAGATACCACACTGTAGCATTAGGAATATCCAGTTACTTTGGCAGACCGTGCAAGGTACTTGGTGATGCAGCGATGAGTGCAAAATTCAGGGAATTTTCCTCGTGGGGTCCCATCGCGGAGAGAGCTCCTCGCGCAGACTAATAAGAGCATCTTACCGCTGCAAATCTAGGGGCTAATTGCACCACTTGTGCTGTCCAAATATCTTTATGAGCTTTTGCTGTTGCTGTTGCTGTCAACCATCAATAGTGGTCCGCCATATTTTTGGTTTCTATTTTCTTAGGAATGGCCTCATGTTAGAAAATACACAGATTGCTAAACAACACCCTGGATGTTCCTGTTCTTCTATTCCCCTGTTACATACATCGCAGGTTTAAATTCACGGATACAGTCTAGGCCCGGTTGCAACAGGCTTTAAGATTCCACGAGCCTCCATCTCTTTGACCATATTTGCAACCATAAGATCACAGCCGCGAGCCGCAACCAAACTCACTGTGACTGGCGTATACTCGGTCTTTCCGCTCTTCGTGCTGTTGTATGGGACCTCGCCAACTGAATTAAGTGAGCAAGCGTCAGCGTCATCATCACATTGCTCCATCATTTGAAGTCTTGAAGTTCAAGAAACAACCACATACTTGGAACAACCAGATCCGGAACTCCTGCAAATACGGCGATATTGCTATCGCTCATCCCCCAGTACGGGGCCAGTGGGCCGCTAAGGTTCATTATTAGTATCTTAAAGCAAATTTCACCTATCAATTTGTCTGACAAACCTAGTATATTCATCACGGTATCTGATCGATCCATAGCTATTAGGATAGAGGTAGATTGCCTTGGAGCAAGTCTCATTATCGGGAGCTCCGAATCCCTCAGCCGCGTTCCACCAATCGTGGAAAAGGGTCTTATTGTGCCAGGCCACGTCAAATCCAGATGATCCGGACTGTTGACCCAAGTGCCATCGCAACAGGGGATTTGGGTTAATATAAGGCGTTCGGCCGTCGTGCTCTTCGGAGTAATCGTCGAAGAAGGGTTTGCCTAGATTAAGCCATTGGTAGACGGTGACGAGGGTTCCATATGTCTATTGAATCGCAATCATTAGTTCCGTCACCAAATGGAATTCGACGAAGATCTCGAGACACACATAGTGAAGCATATCTTCCAAAGTCGAGGTGGCATTTGCAGGTCGAGTCGCGTTCCAAGCAGCATCCAAGTTCACTCGGGTGCGGGTGACTCCCAAGAAATCCTCAACGTTGGTCACGAACTTCTCGATAAGGGCTGACGCATGGCTGTTGTTGATTGCCTCCGGTGTGAAAGATGTCTCTGGGTACCAAAGAGTCTTCGGATAGGAATGGTAGGCGATGAAATCCTTGTACCACGCATGAGCGACCCGAGACCATAGCTCTGCACTGCGAGCAAAAACGCCTGCAGTGTCAAGTCCGGAGCAGAGAGGAATAACGTGATCCAGACCAATAGCTCCGACAGTTGGGCGATTTCCGAAGAGACCGTTGGCGCCCGCTGGTCCGCGCATCGAGCCGCCTGTGTCGCTTCCAACGGCAATATCCAGCCACTCATATGCACCCATTCCGGCGCCCGGACCGGTTGATGAGCCACTGGGGTCTAGATAGCCGTCTCCCTGAGGACTCAGATATTAGAATACTGATCGAGAAATAAGTTATCACTACACTACTCACTCGGGCATTGAATGGGCAGTGAAAGTCAACCCAGTCAGCCGTTGGTTCGTCTCCGTTGGCAAATTGAACAGTACCCATCTTTCCGACAAAGAGAGCACCTTGGTCGATGAGTCTTTGAATAGCACTCCCAGTTGCATTTTGGGTGCCGTAAAGCGAGTAGTACGCTCGGTTCCCACCACTAGTAGCAATACCCTTGACGTGATAAATATCTTTGACACCGAGGCGCAGCTATCACTAGTTATTAGTAGATGTTGAGATCGGGATATATTGAGCGACATACGCCAGCCAGAGGTTTCTCAGGAGTCGGTGTAAAGTATAATCTCGAGGGCACAGCTACGCTGTGTCCAAGCACACTCTGCATTGTATTAGTAAGTTGTTGTTTGAAAAAGGGGTCCAATAGTCTTACCCCCGACGTAGCCATTAGGCGCAAAAACCCACCTTCTTCGTCGCTGATAGCGGGTTCCAGGAAGGCCAAATTGCTATCTTCGTACAGACGATAAGCCTTGAAAATTTTACCAGTCTTTGTGGACACAAAGTAGGGGCCCTTTGGGAGGTTCTTTGTGAGGCGCGCTGTCGCTGCACCTCCGCCGTGAGAGTACTCTGGCGAGACAACAATGTTTGCATCCTTCTTTCCTTCCAATTCTAGATGAATTGAGTGTTTTTCAATTGAAGGGTTGTGTTTCTTCCCCTCGTAGGAGATGTAGGTCACTGGCGGAGTATCAGTACTTATTCTTTGCTGGAACCGTGGAGACTGACCTTTGAGAAATGCAGGACTAAAAACGTCATCTCCGCGCACAAAGTCGGAGATCGTTTTGTTCAGCTCGATGCCATTGAAAATATATGCCTTGCTCGAGATGATTGTCAATGGGAATACGTCGACATCACCTTGGTCTACCTCGTTCAAGATGGAGGCTGGCAGATCCAGCATCTGAGATACTGCAACATCACCAACATAATACGGTATGCCATTAAGCTCCGTAACTCTACCATGCGCTGACCTTGACACTACTGGCGCTGCGAACAGGCCAATGAATGCCGCGATGGAGAAGGTTAGGAACAACCCCAACCGTTTAATAAACTGCTCCATTTTTGATGAAGGGACTGGGTTTCACCAACGTAGTCTTGCTTGTAGGGTCCAAAGCTTCTTAATATATTCCTAAGTCCCTATGTTTAGAAGAACATGGCCAGCCTTAGAAATCCGTGCTGAACTGACCCCAATCAGATAGACCCCAATCATAGCTTCGCCATATGATATTGAACATATCGCCTAGCACCTGTTTGTCATATCTCAATCCCTATCTTTTCTCAGATAAGTGGGTATACCTTCGGAAAATAAAGCTTCTTGGCGGCTGCCTGTATGATAAGGGGCTCCTGCATAGCTCCAAATTTGTTTTTTGATAACTTAAGATCCAAACTCCAAGTCGGCAGACCATAAGTTATGAAACATTCCTTCGTGGTTGGCAGGATACCATAGCCTGCACACATCTAGCAGTTCTATTTTATGGCAGCACATTACAGCGACGGCCAACGACTTCCGTAGGACGAACATGCCCGTAGCCTAATCCATCATGTCCCCATGAAGACCGATTCTCCTCTTATCAGGGTCCTTCATCTTTCAAGGCATTTGTGGAGCGGACCCTGTAGATCGGCACATACGCAGCGTACCCGACGCGCTACTCTCCGAAAGTAATTGCAAGTTTCCGAACATGACTCCAAATTTTGGAGAAGGGACAATCTGAATTGCTTGCCCACCCATTTTACACCTTTAGTACCTCATAATTGGTCTATCTCCACATAAATTAACATAAATTCAACGCGATCCATGTCCAATCTGGTTTAGTGCGGGTGGCCTTTCTTGGACGCTGACACCGGAGTTAAGCTAAAACCGCCCCGACCAGAAAGGACATGGTCATCAGGTACCTATGTACAGTATCCCGGGTTAGGTGGGGAATATCGTGAATCATGTTCCATGGTTTAAGCAGTTGGGGCTGAAAGGCTGAAAGATGTAATCATCGTGGTAATGGCTGCCGCTCATATCTACACACGATCGATCGCTAAAGGTCTGTTGGCGTAAGTGGCTGCCGCCAGCAGTGGGTTCGACATGCCTAATAATGCATATAATGCTAAAGTCATGGGGAGCATAAGGCCGAGCTTATTACAAGAAGCAAAGAAGCATTACCCACTAATACATCTCTACACAACTCGCTCGTTCGCAGTAGAGGGCAAGGGGTGGCATAATGGGGATTCGAATTCCTGCCACGTCTCCAAACGACCAGGCATTCGTCTATTTGGCTTGTTTGCTGAATCAACATTCTAGAATCCCTGGAGACCTTACAAGTCTAATACAGAAGCTATTTTAGCTGTTATTTACGTCTGTACTGAAATACTGCCAAGAAAGGGTTTAGGGGCAGAGTAACCGCAATAGGTATAGCGTTTTTCCAAAGATGGTTCGAGAAAGAATCTCTGTGAGTAAATGGTGAAACTGATTTCGATCCTCCCTGTAGTGGAACACTCATCACAGACTTTTTTGCAAGAGAGATTCTATCTCTGGGGCTGCATCGGCTGCAAGGACGAATCGCGCCTGATTTAGCTTTTGCCGTTGACCAACCTGAGTGATAAGAGAGGAAAGAGCGGAGAGTGGAAACATGAGAGAGCTATTTTGCTCGATCGTGAAACCCTGGCTCTCAAGCATATCAAAGAATTGCGCCCCTGCGACTCCATTCTGGGATGAGTTGTATGTGAGACAAGCACATTGACTTGCGTTAACCTCTCCCATGGAATCTAGTTTTTAGACCCTCACACCGGCAATTGGCCTGGCCATAAAAAAAGGGCTCGATATTCTCGGTTAAAAGACCTGTATTCTTCAATCCTCTATCAAAGAAAATATACTCCAAGCAGCCCCCGTTGTCCAAAACACGGTAGAAATGTTGTTCTCCACTGGCCAATAGCGATCTTCCTTTGGTAGTTTGACTTTTGAGAATTCCCCGTTGTACCCCACGGGGAAACTGCCGGGATAATTCACGGACACGTCCCGGCCCTGAAATTCCAACTGGGGATATGTGCCGGAGAACGGCCGGCAAGTTGGAAGCTATGATTCGACGGAGTAATGCCATTTTTCGCCGGCTTAGGGGATACATTCAGATTAAAGGGCTATCCTCGTCCGTGGCATCACGTCGGCTAGGTTGACGAGTTGAACTCAGGACCCGGTTGGGGGAACTTCATGCAGTACAGATAAGTCTCGTGCACCTACAGCGCTAGATCTATCGGCGTCTTACCATTGCAATTTGGCTCATCATGAGGTGGCTCCTCGACCGAGTAATTATCATACAACTTTGGGTGTTGGCAGCCCTTGCGATCAAAAACCCTATTATAACAGGATGGAATCCTGATCCCTCGGTCATTCGTGTCGGTGATGAATATTTCATCGCGACTTCGTCCTTCGAGTACTGGCCTAGTACTCCAATTTACAAGTCAAAGGATCTCGCCAACTGGGAGCTTTACTCGCATGCTTTCACAAAACCCAGTCAGGCTCAACTATATGGCGTACCGACGGGTGCTGGTAGGTTCATCCATACCCTGCGACCGAGGGAATCTTATAATCTAAACAGGCTGACAGGTACATGGGCTCCCACATTGTCACTTGTTAATGGCAAATACTATATGGCATCAATGACAAGGTGGACCTATGATCCAGTTGCACGGGTATGGCCCCGTGTTATGTGGGTGTCTTCCCGCGATCTGAAGACATGGTCTGATCCTGTTTGGGGTGACGCATGGGGTATCGACCCTTCTTTGTTTCAGGACCAAGCTACGCAGAAGGTTTATTTGAACTTCATGGCTCCAAACAATAACGCGGACAGGATTTGGGGAATCTATCAATGCGAAGTTGACGTGGACAGTGGTCGGTGTGTCGGCGAGTATCGTTCTTTATGGAATGGGACGTTGCCGCATACTTCAAGTTCCAGACCTGAGGGCCCAAAGATGTTCAGACGCGACCAATGGTATTATCTCCTTATCGCTGAGGGTAAGTTACGGTCCATAATAGGAAGGATTCATGTTTCATTCAGTCTAACTTGTATAGGGGGTACGGATGACCTTCATCGAGCTACTATCGCACGTTCCACTTCCCCTGAAGGTCCCTGGGAAGCAGCGCCAAACAACCCGATTTTGTTCAACGGTGCATACGGATATGACAACCTCACAGTACAGTCGACTGGTCATGCCACACTTTTTGATACTCCAGAGGGAGAGAGCTATGCAGTATTTTTGGCCCGGAGAAAGACCAATGGCACATCCCCGCTTGGACGAGAAAGCTTCCTTGCTCCTGTCCAATGGAAGGATGGATGGCCTATTGTCAATGGAGGAGAGCCAATTCGACTCAGCCAATCGTTCGGCAACACCACGGACCAGGTGTCACCACCAAAGCCTTTCACGGATAACTTTGATCGCGCAAATCTTGATCCTTCATGGTATCAGCTTCGGATCCCTTACACGCAGAACTTCGAGATCAAAAAGAATGGCGCCAATGGAATCACTTTCAAACCAAACGTGTTCGGCCTGAGTGACAGAGATACCCCGGCGGCTATTTTGCGGAAGCAGAAATCATTGAATATGACTTTCAGTGCGCAGCTCCTTCCAACCAAGTCGGGCCTTGGATACGGAGAGACAATCGGTATCAGCGCTTATTTGAGCGAACTTCAACATCAGGATATTGCAGTCTCTGGCTGTGTCAACAGCACGGGAATGTGCATCTTTACTAGACTGATGATGAACGGCACAGTCGAGGTAATTACTCAATCCCTCTTTGTACCCTTGTGTGCTAATAATCGATCATAATTTAGTACGACCAAGTGAAACTGAACTCGTCAACCATTCCGTCTGATCTGACGCTTCACATTCGCGCCCAACCGCTTTCTTACACCCTCGGATACAGCTTGGGGATGAACGGTACAAAATATTGGCTGAAAGAACTGTCATCGTCTTGGTTGGCATTTGCCCCTACCAATTGGTTTGTTTTTGAGGGCACCAGCTTTGCTGTTTTCGCGACTGGTACGGGGAAACCTTGGCCGCCGCATGCCCCAGAAGTGGGATTTTCCAGGGTGACGGAGACATACTTTGAGGAAAACATTCCCGACTATGATAAGTGGTGATCAGTTGTAGTTCGAATCAAACAATCGATGAGGCACTTGACTTTGTGAACCTGGCTCGTAGGTCCTCTTAGCAGCGGGCAAAACGCCGCGTAATCTCCGCCAGCTGTTCGGACTACGGATAATAAAAGGCCCGAGGCGAGATGTGGGGCGGGAGCTCTTGTGGGGGCGCTCTCCCATCGGCTCGTCACGTGGCGTACATCATCGGTCGGCATGACGACGTCAAGAGTGTTGGAGGCAGAGCTGTGCTCAGATATCCCGAACCTATAGCTATCTAGAATGGCGACAGCAGCTGTCTTCGGCTCCACTGGGGCGGTGGGCTCGCAAATCCTGGCAACGCTTCTCGCCTCGGACACGTTCTCCTTCGTCAAGACGGTGTCACGAAGAATCCCAAACACCCAGTCTCCAAAGCTTGAGGCTCTGCAAGAAAGTGACAACTCGAAATGGGGTGATATGATAGGCTCCTTGACTCCCAAACCGTCGGTGGTTTTCAACGCAGTTGGCACCACCCGAGCTGCAGCTGGCGGGATCCAGAATCAGTGGAAGATCGATCATGACTTATGTATCGAAAATGCCAAAGCTGCCAAGGCAGCGGGGGTGAAGACTTATGTCTTTATTTCTAGTGCAGGGACCAGAGGCTTCCTGTCTAGTCGTGTCCCTTACTCGAAAATGAAAGTTGGTGTGGAGGATGCCATCAAGGAACTGGGTTTCGACCACGCGATTATCCTGAGGCCGGGAATGATTCTCGGGAGAGAAAAACCCAAAGCTGCATTCTTTGAGAGCATCGTGGGGAGCCTTAACAAGTTGGGACAGGGTCTCCAGGATCGAATCGGTATGAGACAACCAGGTGCATGTGGATGTCTTGGATTACGGAACGCTGATTTATTATGAGCAGGTCAGGATCAGACTATTATTGGCAGAGCTGCTGTAGCTGCAGCCCGAATCGCCGAAGAAGGCAAAGCACCCTCCGAATTTTGGGCTTTGGGACAGGCTGATATTGTCAGGCTGGGTAGAGCGGAGTGGAAGGAGTGAAGGCCTGTCCTTTGGTTACCAGCTATATTTGAAATTGGCTTCCATGCTTTACGCAAGAAGATTGTGTCTGGAACCCTAACTCAAAACATGCTAGGCTAAATGCGGATATCTGCAAATATCACCCGCCCAGCGGTATAAATGAAAGGCTTATGGACAGAGCCGCTACAGCATGAGTGCGAGATAGGGTGGCTATATTCACTGCTATCTCGATGTCAAAAGATCAATTGTGGGGAGAGAAAGACGAAGCGTCTCTGTGGAATGAAGAAGGAGGAGCAAGACTAATGGGCAAGAACGTACCCGTGAATAACTATTGACAATTTATCTTGTATTCAATAAGTGATTCTACTATGTGGCCAATATTGTAGTATTCTATCTGGTGGGTGTGAGAATATTCTATGGGGAACAACAGATCAAACTTGGCTTGCTCATTCTGTCTTACCCACCTCTCCAGTCAAACCTTCTCATTCTCTCACCATACACCCTCCTTCCATCCTCAGTCCAGCTTTCACACACGCAAAAGAATCAACAGGGCCCACCAGTCTGTCAAGTCCTGCTTTGCTAACTTGATAGGCATCTAAGCTCTGCCCATATGATCTAAGCCACGTCGGCTATTACTTCACGTGGGATGGCTGTTCCCCAGATTTTGCAAACCAAGCTAACGCCTTGATCTCCTTCAGAATGTCGAACCCAAATCGGTCGCGACGCATCCCGCCAGGTGCTCCCACATTGATTGGACATAACGAAGAAGACATACCACCCGACGTGTGGGCCCATTATCTACTTTCAACGGAATGGACCAAAGGAGCTGGTCTAGTTCAGGAGCTGCAGACCAAATCACCCCAGCGAGAACTACAAACGCGGCTCCAGACCGTGGAGGAGACTCATCGCAGGCTTGGGAATTTGAGATTTGTGGCGTCTGCGCTCGTCCAGGTCGTTGGATTTGAGGCAAAAACTGAATGTACCTGCTGTCAACGAGGACAAGGTCCTTGGCCTGGATGCAAAGTGCTTCCTGGTTTCCTCGATGGCGCTTGCGCCAATTGCCAGAGGAATGGCAAACGCCGAATATGCAGCCTTTGTGTGTCAAACCTTATAAACACAGAATGCCTGAAGGTATCTATACTGACTTTCTCCGCCTTTTGGCTGGAAATGCCACTACAGATCATCACAAAACAAGGAGCAGCAGTAACAGCCAATCCTCGCTTGGCGTTGCCCAGGACGCGTTCGACAACCAAGCAACACGACAAACTATCTCGACAAACCCAAACAAGCGCAAGCGACAGGATTCCAACGACGGGCCCGAATATCTATCTTCTGACGGATCACCCTCTCCGAATATGAATGCCACGAGGACGGAGCACATCCAAACAGTTGAAACTATGCTCCCCAGACCATCTACTACGCAACCCAACGAGACTAGCACCTTCAGGGAGCTCTGGGTAAACCTGGCAGATGTCGAGCACCCACCTTATGACTGGGATATGCATGTTACTATGGGAAATATGGAAAAACTTCGTCTAGACTGGTCACAGAACGAGGTCGCAACTAGTGTCATCGAAAACAGTCTGTCATCCGCGGAGATCAATTCACTCAGGGATGCGCTGAAGAAACTGTCACCAAAGGTCCAGGCTATTCTTCGGGATATCAAGTCGGAAGAGGATTCCAGCGCGGTGCGTGGCGCGATAAGCTACGTGGAAGGGCTCGGCGAGATTGAACCCAAAATCAACGCTATGGAAAATGGCCCTGTCAAGGAAGCTTATGCAAATCTTTACTCTCACTTCGAGTCCTTCGGTACTCCAAACGCAGATACAACTGAAATCACCCGATATGGGACTTCTCGCCCGTCGCTCGGAATCAACGAGGTCCGCCTGCAGCTCCTGCGGTCCTTCCAACAAGAAGGAGCTCGTGTTAGCCAAGAAGCAGATTCTCTCCGACAATCTCGTCAGGCTGAAGTGGAAGAGCAACGCATCGGCCAGAAAGAAGTTGATAAACAGCTGCGCAGAGAGCTGGATTCTGAAAGTCCGAACATCATTTCTCGGAGGCGTCCGGTATCGACCGCTTGGCGCAAAGTTGAACCAGAAGAATGACACCACTTGACTGAACAAATTGGTATTTCGTTCCCATAATCACATTTTACTACATGAATTACTGTGGTTCTGAGTATAAACGGAGCATCGTCTTCTGGAACCTATGCTCGTTCTTTTTATCTATCCTGTGTGTATGAATATGGGACATGAGTCTTTTTTTTGTTAAGTAGTTCAATTACTATTATCAGTGCTCCTGTTGCAGTCCGTACGGTCACAGACCAGATCAGCTTTCAGAACCCTACCTCTATATGATCTAGGTAATTAACTGGAGGCACTCAACATTGGACGCAAATGAGTTGAAGAAAGAGAGGCCAAAGTAGGGCAAAAATGATCAACGAAACGGTAAACTGGCTTCGAGGCTTTCGTGTAGAAACTGTCCAATACGCCATGGCATTCTGTACTCATTTACAACCCATGTTATAGTATCGTTGCCGGGCTTATAAACTTCATGTTCGTAGCAAAGGGCTTCAATTTTATAGAGTAGTAAAGATGCTCACCCGCCCCGGGATAACATCATCGATGGGGATTTCAGAGAGAGTACTGAGCCAATGCAGGACCCAGCGGATCACATGAATCCTGTTGGCAGAGTGGAGCGAGTGTGAGAGAGAGACAGAGGAGATATAGATTATCTAGCTGGTATCAGTGTTTTAGTCTACTCATATAGACTAACAGTAGGCATTATAACTCATTGCAAGCTTGGGAGCTCCGGTTTCACTACCATAGCTGTACATAGGTAAGGAACCTCCTCCATGGAGGTTGTCTGTAGTAGTTATCCAGCATAGAAATCTCATCAGCGCTCAAGGATCGTCGACCAGTACTTAGATCCGCAGTTTTTGGATTTCGCCAAGGTGTTCTGAAAATGATCTTGTACCCGATAGTGAAGCCGAAAATTAACAGGAGTCCAAGGATATTCTGGAAGAAGTTCGATACGGCGAACCCATTGCCACCCTGTTAGATGTTAGTGACCAACTCCTGTCACTTCTGCTAAACGAGATTACGAAACTCACTGGAGGCTTAACTCCCAAGAATATACAGCATACCAATAGGAATAACGAGATTAGCGTAAGCCATACCGGTGCAAGGGGCCACAGTGATGACTTCCATGCATAGAGCTCTGTAAATAGCGGGTCATTCTGTGCCTTAAGCGCACGGTGGAACTTCCAGTTGACGAAGCAGATAATTATCCAATTAGCGAAGAATGAGGCACTTGTGATCGCAATGAGCCAGTTCAAAACGGTCAGGCCACCAGCTACTATGTATAAGCATATCACCCCTTTGTGGTGACGAGACGGTGACGACTTACCTGCAATCTGAATATATGACAGTAAAACCGCCACGATCGAAGTGACAATCAAGGCGAGTCTCGGGCGTCCTCTAACGTCCACACGGGCAAGACCTTCCCAGATAAGCTTTTGATGAGCCATAGTTCTCAACACCCTAGATGAGAGATAGACGGCCTCCGCCGCAACCGCAATAACACCGCATATCATTCCAGCATTCAAGAGAGAAGAAATTCCAGGAATCCCGGAGTCCTGGACTGCGATGATGAAAGGCGAAGCTGCAACTCCACTACCACCTAGGAGGCGATCGTCATCCGATGGAACGAGAAGTGTAATGAATACAACACTGATCACGTAGATGAAGTTGACTCGGAATGGAACGAGCTTTGTGGCGTGTCCCATTGAGAAACGTGGGCTTTCGGCTTCGCCTCCCATGATACCGATGAAAACTTGGTCACCGACGGCCCATACAGCGAGGAGGGCACAGTTTGCAAAGCCCTAGGCTTATTAACAAGGAATATCTCAAGTTTTGGCTGGCGCACAACGTACAGAGAAGCCGTTGAGGAATGCGGGTAGAGTTTTCCAAGTGTCTCCGTGGTGCATATAGCCGTTGGGGCCAGCACCCAGTACCAGTGCCAGAGAAAGGACAATGATGATGAGAAAAACCACAATCTTGATAAGCGACGTCACGTATTCGAACCAAGCAAAGACTTTATTTGGGAGAGTGAAGATGACCAAGCAGGCGAAGAGAAAGATGGAGACTTGGAGATAAGAGAGTAAGTAAATGCTCACATCTAGGGCGGAGGGTTTCTTACTAGTAGCAGCCAGTGGCATAGATCCTTCCGACCAGTATTGAACTAAGACATTGAAGAACCCTGCTTCGGAGGCAACGATTGCTGTCCATCCTGCTCTCGTCAGTGTAACATCCCGTTGAGACCTCCGAAAGAAGTAATCACATACCTAGCCACTCTGCAAATCCAGCACCAAAAGCCAAAGCAGGGTCAACCCAACGATCAGCATAGTCGATGTAGTTTCCGGATACCGGGAATGCGATTGTCATTTCAGACAAAGACTGCAGAACAGCCCAAACACTGGTGCAGACAATAGTATAGGCGATGACCATATTACCCGGGCCTCCTGTGGCAAGGGCTTTTCCAGTGGCAATGAAAACTCCGCTACCGATATTGGATCCTAAAGAGATGATCTTCCTAGATAGTGAGACGCTTTCAAACGGAAGGACTGTCCAAGACCCTCCACAGAATTCTCACATGAACCTGACGCGGCGAGAAGGAACGGTGGAATTGTCCATTCCTGCTCTCCTCTACCTCTCCTATACGGGCTTCGCCGCAGCTAGCCGTCGGTTGCAAGGAATCGATTTCATTTTGAACGGTTTCTTTCTGTTTGTACGAATTTGGCGATAAGTCGAAGTCAGACATAACTGTAAGTAGCTTGTATTTCGTATATAAAATATTTGAGGTGATGACAAGCCAAATATCTGCCGGGGAATTTGTCCTTATATAGTGTCCCACCGACCAACATCGAAGAGGTAAAAGGATAATCTAGATAGACGGGTATCCAGGGAGGCAGGTCTTCCACTGAGATAGGAGTCTTGCCAATAGCCACTCGAGCCTCAGCTGTCGGCCCCACTCACCGCATTCCAGGCACTGGGCCCTTGTATCCGCCTCCTTACGCCTCCGTGTAGCTGAATAGACCAAAGGGATTGTGCATGGGATGGAGTTTCACGTGATGTCTCAAACGACGCCATTTTCTGTATATATGCTCCAATCAAAAACTTGATTAATTTCGGGATGCTAACAGTAGCATCGAGATAAGCCCTAGGGAATTTAAGTTAGATTCAAGGATGATTACAGAATTGGGCGTGTCGGGCCAGATCCGAGATGGTCAATCTAATCTCTTAATAGAGTGCTGAAAAAGGTCACGCCATGCTAAGGCTCGTATCGCTGGGGAGGCCCTTCAATGGCCGTGTCGACCATGGCCACCACAAAATGCTGTTAAATATGGGCCTTGGTAGGTTCACATTGGGGAAATCGCGGCATTTTGAGCAAATTTTGTACCTGCAAGGACCAGGTTCACTGAGGGTTTTCCATCGACTCGAGCCACCGTAAATCGTCGTGCAGCAAACATGCACATTCCATATCTCAAGGCTCGGAACGCATTCCAGGTTCCCATTCATTCAAAAGAATGACTGTCTGGATCTAGGCTTCATGCAAACTATTGAATGTACAACGTGGCATTGAAATGGAAAGTTTGATTTATCCTGAAGTAAATATCACTCCATTATCAGACTCATTGCAGCACTGAATCTTACGGCGGATTTAGAAGTTGGGGAGGCAAACCTTCAATGAACGCATCAGTAGATAACATAAGTTTCTATTTACTGGGCGATAATCCGTCATATGCCTCTTTTTGCATGGAGCGATATCACCTTCTTCATTGAATTTAGAATTGAGAGGACTGAGAAGAATGGAAGAGGAAGGTGATCCACTCAGGCGCGCGTCTCATTGGACGACACATTGTTTAGGAAGGCGATCTTGGGGTCCGTGCATGTACTCCCCCTTTGGGAACTTATACGTCTTGTTGACTATGGCAGTCCTTGGACTTCGTGTTCAAAAGCCGTAGGTAATTAATAGACGATAAGGTAGGATATGTTTCACATTAGTATTACTTTCCGAAACGAGTTACTGCTTCAACCTAGTTTAGATGAGCTCTTCAATGTATATCGTGTACAATATCCAGTCAAAGTCACGTCCAATCTATAACAAGATCTCAGGGGAAAATAAAAGAACCCAGTCAAGCCTCATATTTCCTTTCCATATCAACCCATTTTCGACACCACCACCAACATTATGTCCGAAGCTATTGATTTGTCCTTGCTCAAGGGAACCTCCGAGGAAAGCGAGGCCGTTTCAGCCACCCTGCTAAAGACATTGAAGACTCGAGGAGTGGCCAAGGTGAAGAACCATGGTCTTCCAGAAGATCTCATTTCTCAGCTCTTTGACTATGTACGTATGCTAGTTTGTGAGAATGATATTGCCGTCACTGAGTTTTATCATAGACCCGACGATTCTTCGATCTTTCATTGGAGGACAAGATGACTGCCAAACACCCACCACAAGCCAATCCCAACCGCGGATACAGCTTTGTCGGACAGGAATCAGTCGGGAGCATCAGTGGCTACGAGAAAGGGCTTGCTCAGGGAAAATCTGTCCGGGATATTAAGGTAACTGTGGCCGCGTACTAACCGGTAAGAATCTTGTTGACATGACAGGAAACGTTGGATATCGGCTCTGCCTACGATGACCTGGTAGATAACATTTGGATAGCCGATGAAAAGCTACCTGGATTCCGTGCATTCATGGAAGAATTCTACACAAGCTGTTTCGAGGTCGAACTCGAAATTCTCGACGCGCTAGCCAAAGCTCTCAAGATCTCAGCCGCCGATCTCAGAGCACTGCACAACAAGGCTGAGAACGAGTTCCGGCTCCTTCACTACCCAGCCATCCCCGCCTCTGAGCTCGCCGACGGATCGGCCACACGAATCGCGGAGCACACAGACTTTGGTACAATCACCATGCTATTCCAAGATTCAACAGGAGGTCTCCAAGTCGAGGATCAGACAAATCTGGGAACCTTCCACGGCGTTGAGTCGGGTGGAAAGTCGGAGATTATTCTCAATATCGGTGATTCGCTGCAACGTCTCACCAATGATACATTCCGAGCTGCATGCCATCGTGTGACGTATCCCCCCACAGTGAAAGTGGGATCTGACGAGATGATCCCGGAGCGCTATTCCATTGCCTACTTCGCCAAGCCAAACCGCCTCTCATCGTTGTTCCCGCTGAAGGAATTTATCACATCTGCCACTCCCTGCAAATATGAAGACATTACAGCCTGGGACTATAACAACCTTCGGATCGCTAAGCTCTTCTCCTGAGGCGTGGCATCCATTTGATATTATTCTTACGGTACCTTGATTGCTATCACTTTTTGTTTGTATATTTTGCGAATGAGATTGTATTAGTTATTTTAGAATGATTGAACAAAGTCATTCGATGATTACCGTGTTTCTAGGGAGTAGTTTTAGCAATGGCAGTGTCTGGTATTGCCACCGACCAACAAGAGATTTTGGAATAGTAATCCTTCTGTGTTTATTTAACATATCGGTGGCTGACGGCGAAGGGTTGTGTGATAAGTACAGGGGGAAAGTGGTTCCGAGCGGATTGCGACACTCATCATCTTGACCATATCGGGATAAAAGAAACCGATTGAACACAAAGGCTGAATTTATTGAATTTCAACTCAATAAATTATCAGACTTGGTTCAATAGTTGTTATTGACCTTTTTCGGAGTTGCATGCCTATTTCGGCTATCACTGATGAGGCACAGAGGCGGGGTGAAGGAACCACCGTCAACACCAAGAGCTCAGAGAATTGAACATGCCACCTTCGATCTTAATTTACTCGTTGAATCTAACTTCCCGAGTTCAATATGGATGGTTCCCCAGATCTACTAGCATGGCTACCACAAGTAGGGCTCGACACTGATCACAGCGCCTTTTGGTCGGAATTGATGATACCCACAGACACAAACTGTTCTGAAACAAAACATCATATCCAACTAAAATTCATTAACGATCAAGAAGATGTTCGAGGTTTCAGTGCGGAGAATGCAGCGAGGCATCGGCAGTCAATTTTCACAGGTTTGCACCCAAAGTTTCTTGAATACAAAATCTCCTCTGATGCCCATTCACAAGATACCGAGCGCCATGCCATGAGTGAAAAAGTCGCTCGCTCCGCACCGAATAAAAATATCAATAAAGCACTATCTGAGTTGGAAAGTTTCGGCCTTCGCGGAGATACTCAGTTACCGTTGTCACTTTTCCGAGGACCATTCGGGGCACTCAGATTGCCACATACAGAACTGATCGAGTCAAGTCCTTTTGAAGTCGACAATTTGTCCTTGCCTTCACAGGAACGGGACAAGGAGCTTGCGGAGATATTAAGAGGGGATGGGCTGGACTTTGACGATCTTGTGGTGCAAGAACCGAGTGTAAATGACAATTGGATGGCGCAAGAACCCGATCTATTGCAGTTGGAAGACAGATATATCTGTCCGTTCGAGCCACAACCCGAACCACGAATCGACGTCTATGGGGGAAACATCGAAGGCTGGACTCTCCTATCACATTACAAAGACCGGATCGTCCCACTGATATCTCCCCTGCGACGTGGCCAGGAGACACCATGGATGGGCTTAGTGATCCCATGCGCAGTCACAACAATGGGAGAATTAACAATGAATGGGTCAATCAAGCACGTGAGACTCGCCTTGCTGAATGCAGTGTTGAGCACAAGTGCCTTTCATCTCGGTAACAACACTGCTTGTCAGGGTAATTGGAAGGCATCTGGCGAGATGTACCTGAGACGTGCTCAATGTCACTTTCAAAAATGCATGGAAGAAACATGCTTGTCGACTACTAAGACGAGCAAGTACAAGGAGATTTTGATGGCCATTCTGAGTCTTTCAAACGCATTTGTATGGCACCCATAAACGCTGTACTTGAATGGGCTAACACATTCTCGCTGGTGCAGATGTTCAAAGGAGACCCAGACAAGCGACGTGCCTATCTCATTCAAACCGAAAAATTTATTCGTATCAGAGGATTGAGTCGGCCAAAGCTGTCTCCAAAGAAACGAGCACTACATCACTGCTATGCATTTATGAGAATCATGGCCGAAACAACCTGTGTCGCCGACATCTTAAACAAACGACCACTTGAAACTAGCGAAGGAACAGTTGACGGTACAATATATGAAGGAGACTTCCGAATATCTCCCAACCTAGCTTTTTCCGCAGACGCAATGACCGAGGAAAAGGATCCGGAGATGGGACAGCGGGATCTCCACCTTGCAATCCCAGGCCGCTGGAGCTCCACACTGTTTCCAACAGTGTACGGAGTCGACGAGCTATTCCTCATGCTTCTATCCCAAGTAATTCGACTTGCCAACGAGCGCGACCTGTCAACAACGTGCAATGGGAACCAAGAAGAGCGACTAAGCTTGAAGGAGTTCTGGATACGAGCAAAAGCTATTGAGAAAGCTATCAACACGTTGATATCTTCTTCAACAACTGGAGACACCCAGTCCCACGACAACCACTTCCTGCAGAATGACAAGTCCACAACAGCCCAAGCAATGTCCATGTCTCTCCTCATCTTCTTCTATCGCAGAATATATGAAGTCGACCCTGCAATGCTTCAATGCAAAGTAGCTTCCATGCGCACCTACTTGATAAAGATCCAACAAGACGAAATCCACTCGAAGGATGGTAGCAGCGCTGCACTCATATGGCCTGCATTTATTGCTGCGTGTGAAGCAGTGGAGCCAGACTTGCAGCTTTTCTTTTCTTCCTGGTTTGACTACTGCTTTGCGACTACTGCATTAGTGTATGCATCAGTGGCAAAGCAAATATTCGAGACAATCTGGACTAAGAGGTCTAAGGCGGGGCTTCATGGGGAGATCTTTAGTTGGCCGGATATTTTAAGGGAAGGGAATATTAAGTTTACTTGTGTATAAAGAATTTCATGGGATCAATTTCATTCACTGCATAGCAAGTCCCCGATCCCGAGCTAAGGAGACAAATAATGCCTGTGGCATTGTCCACGGGCAAAAGCAAAGGCAATAGCAAACGTGGTATGACTGAAAACAAGAAAAACTTCAAATGCAGAACACAACGCGGGATTTCAAATAGCAAACGCGGCAATAGGAATGCGCATTGACATGTGCCAGACTGCCCTCGGCTGTGTTAGAGCCTAGAGGATACCCATTCGTCGTCGGAATTCATTCTGATGACGACCAGCAGAATCTATCCAGCCCAGAGGAATTCCCTCTTTCTCAACCTCAGTATTTTTTTCGAGTCGTAGAAATTGCTTTTGATGACGAACGGAAAAATCCTTCCACTCCGGATCCACTCCCTCTTTCTGAACCTCAGTAAAATAGTCGAAAAGAAGTTTGCACACTGAGTGTAGATAATCATCGTATGTGGACACCTCACCAATCCACAGTTTGAGTTTTGGAAGCCCTTCCACAAACTCGAATGCATCATGGATAGGACCAAGGCTGTTCTCGTCCAGGTTACTAAGGAGCGACTTGAAAGCTGAAGCCGATGGATTAAGCCCGGACATGACAAAGGATGTTGCTGTCTCGTTCCTATACCATCCTGCGTACAGTCTTTCCATTTGCAGAACGGCGTGAGACAATTTAGGGTACTTTGATGTACCCTCGAACCATCCGAACTCAGCCCAAAGATGCATAAAAGTTTTAGTCATTGCAGTGGGGTCAGTCTCTGATAGTGAGTCCGGGATATCGGAGATCAGCGTCGCAGGCGGCGGAGGTGACATGATTCCTTCAACTCAATGAAGATTGTGAGACGAAGTTGATTGAAAAGGGCGGGGTTCACAAAGCAGGATTCGTTCAGAACAGTGGTTTGAACTTCGCTTAAGTTGTGATGAAGGTAATGGCTTAGAGCATAGCGAGGGTAGTCGCAATAGTAAAGATTGTGGTACCGAGGAATGATGAAAGGAACCACAGAGCGGCTCTATGCAATGATCGGTCAGAAATGACGGCGGTGATGGTAGATGAGTGGCAAGGAGTGGAAGCGGGTAGAAGAAAGATTGGTTTACAACCACAAGAGTATTCTCATATAGAGAAAGCCTTGCGGTTTACGAGATGCCTGATAATGGTGACTAAGGGACGCCAGAGTGAGAGTATTTTGAGATAAGAAGCAGTGCAAAGATAGACTGAAGAAGAACAACGAGGAAAACAAGTGTCGAGAAAAGGCTAGCGTGGAAAGACCTTGACCTTGACCTTGATGTGATCGGTAGTTATTATGATATAACAGGCAACGTAAGTCCTTTCACTCCTCCACCTATAGATAATATGTATGTTCAACCCGAGGCACTCGAAAGTGGGCGAAAAAGAGGCGGAAAAGTAAAGGCCAAAGTAGGGCGAAAACAATATATAAAGCGGTACACTCGCTTCGAGGCTTTGGGGTAGAAACTGTCAATACTTTGTGACACTATGTACATATTTGGGACCCCTGTTAGATCGAATGTTGACTGATATCTGACTCCTGCATAATCGGACATAGAATGCAAAGGTAGCAATAGAACGCAGAGGACTGGAAAGATGATATGAAGTATAATCTTACACTCGTGACCTTAGATGCTACGGGTGAGAACCTAGAACTAAAAGCAAAACCAAAAAAAACTGAAAGCAGAAGAGAATGGGAAAAAAAAAAGAAATTTTGGTGCATGACGGAAAATATCGAATAGTACGCACAGAAAAAAGATTGCGAAATGAGATGTGGGAAGATGCTTTCGGCTTTGTTACAGCCTCAGAAATTACTGAAAGTGATCCTGCGGGGGACGTCGAGGGGGTCATTTCATGTTCAACGCACTTCAATCTGTGATGCCCATCTCGTCTGGACACCGAAGTATCTTGAAAAGACCGTACTGTCCGCATGCAGGGGGATCTCCGTCCATCTTGTCGACCGTAGCAGCAAACTTCTCGAGGGCCTGTTTAGGAGTTAGTAGCATCTTTGATCGTCAACCTGTTTCTTGCTTTGGTTCAAAAGGTTCTCTTCAACCTCTCCAGCTGATGTAGGAACTCCAAACATGGCGAAGCGCACCGTAAAGTCGCTTGTCCACCATCCAGCAGCAAGTTTCTCCGGTTTGATGGCTGCATAAAACAGTACCGAGTACGGTGGCGCAGGAGAGTAGCATATAATGGGAGCCAGCAGTTCTTTTAACGTCACGCTCATGACATAATGGAAGTGTTCTGACTGCGAATCCTGGATATCTAAGATGCTATCATCCAGTTTTGACAACGAAGAAGACATGGTTCTTTTCATTACATGGAAACTGGAAAGGCTGGCGAGAAGTATCTGGAGGGAAAGAAGTAGGGTCTGTTGAGATATGAATTGTCGAACGCCCGCCGAGTTTGCAGTCCGGGCAATGAAAATACTAGCGAAGGTCGCTTGCTCCTCTATATATAGCTTCCCTATCGCATGGTAGCTGACCTATAGTCCCAATCCAAGGGGTCAAGTCCTCAAGGGAAGGGTGAAGAGCGTAGGGGGTTGGTGGGGGACCGAATCGACTTGGCATCGGGAGCAGTCTGTTTGTGTGGACGCAGGGCTGAAGGGCCTACCCGGTGGCGGTGGGGAAAACTAGGCTAGTTAGTCCGGAAGAGCGCGGGGGCAGTGGGTTCGGACGGACGTGGGGCCGATGCATCACTTGCGGTGATGGGGCATTCGTTAACTGGTGTAGTTGATTTTCATTGGATTATGTCAGGTACCAAATAACTTGCTTAAATTCCTGTGAATCAATTTCTACCCAGTGTATAACTCCTCCATTCTGTTTATGTCCTCGAGGCACTGCAACAGGGCCACGATGAACTCCCCTTCGAGACTCCAGGTTGCCATTGTAGGTGGGGGCTTGGCCGGGACTTTGGCAGCGCGAGTTCTTCGAGAGCATCATGATGTTACCATCTACGAGCGGGGTAAGACAGCCATCGAGGTTGGCGCCGCCATTAATATCGGCCCAAATGGTGTAAAGATCCTGGAGCAGTTAGGGTTTGATCGGACTCGCGTCGGATCGTTGCCTGTCGGCAGAACCCTGACATGGAACAAACAAGGGGAGCTCAAGTTGGAGTCCGACATGAAGTGCGTTGAAGAGTACGGGGCTGACTGGCTGTTCAATCACCGTGCGGACCTCCGCGACGAATTTCTTCGGCTTGCCACTGCGTCATCCGATGACCTTAAAATAGGGGGAGCCCCGGCCACAATCCGATATGGAGCAGAGGTCGTGAATGTGGACGTTGATCAAGGTGTCTTAACTCTCGCCAGTGGCGAGGTGATCACTGCCCATCTCGTAATAGGCAAGTGTCCCCGTTTCAGATTCCCCTCAGTGAGGATCTTGTTTTCTAATCTTCTGCCTACAAAATAGCTGCCGATGGGATCAAGTCTCGAATTCGCCCCCTCGTTGTGGGAGATGCTGCTTTGTCAACGGCCCGCCCGTCTGGGATGTCTGCTTTCCGCTTCACTCTGCTTGCAGAGGAGATCAAAAACAAGAACGGTGGTGCGGTGCCTGATCTCCTAGACCCCACCAAATCGGCCTGTCTGAATATGGTGCTTGCATTCGATCAAACCAATCGGTCTGTAGTGATGTACCCATGTCGAAATTTCGAAATACTGAACTTTGTCTGCATCGTGCCTGACATGTCCCTTAAAGAGGCGACAAGCGAGTCTTGGTCTGCAGCAGGCGATAGGGAAGAGCTTATTTCTCTATTTACCGACTTCCCTCCTGCAATTGTCCAGTATTTCAAGTACGCCATTTTTTTCTCAACCAAAAAAGATCTCTTGCTTACTGGTTCATTTATAGATACGCAACGGATATTAAACTTTGGCAACTTCGAGATCAAGACCCGCTCCCAACGTATATCAAAGGCCGTACTGTCCTGATCGGTGATGCTGCACATCCAATGACGCCCCATCAAGGCCAAGGAGGAACGCAGGCTGTTGAGGATGCCGAAGGTTTGCGTCTATTTAGCGAAATAAACTTCCCATCTTATGATGTAGCGCAGATCCTTCGGGATTTTGACCGAGTCAGAAGGCCGCGTGCTGCTCAAATTCAGAACAATACGAGGAAGTCGATTGAAAGGAGATCTGCTGAAGATATTTATTCGTTTGCGAAATACAACTGGACCTATCCTGGCATAAAAGAGTGCCTACGACGAATTGATGCTGGGGTAGAGATGATCCAATTTTAAATACACTCTGCGGTTGGGACTTCGATCTATTCTTGCTTCATTCACTATGTGTTAGGAAAATCTGGATATAATTTATAAATTGAAGTATCGAAACGAAACGAACGAAGTTGCGTCATTTGCATCGCTCTTTGGTGAAGAAATGAGTTTCCACAAGCCCTCACAACATTGCTAGTCCTCTTGACGCAAGACTTGCCCTTACATAGACTCCACCTCAGTCTGCCCCGTAAGCTTCCTTTTGCCACCAATCCACTTGACCTCCCAGAGAATAACATTGGACTTCTTGGTCTCCTTGCCCGTTTTCTTGTCCTTGGACGTCCATTTACTAAAAACCGCCACCACGCCGTCTGGTTTCTCCGGGTTCTCCCATTGGAGTATCACAGAAAAGTCATCTTGGATCGATGTACTGGAACTACGGGCGTATTGGAGGCCTGTTTTGAATTGGTCGTAGCTGTAGACGTTGTGGTTGATTCTGGCGGTGTGGCTGGGTCAGCTGTACTTCTGAAGATGTACGAGCTAGGGCAGCGTACCTGACTACTAAGCTTGGATCGACTTGCTCATGGAGAGCCTTGATGGCGATTTCGTCGTTCGGTTGGATGAACAAAGTATCGTTGATCTGTGTCACCCACTGACTGAGAGTTTGCTGTTGGGCCGACATTTTATGTTGCTTGGATGTTGTGAGCACATCGCCATGGTAATAATTGTGTTGGACACTTACGAAATGATTGTGTATAACGTGGAGGGCTGGCTAAAGAGTGTGATTGGAGTCGCAAGTTGGGAGGTATGGTCCGTATTTTATGCCCATTAGCTTCCAGAATCCTAGACATTTTCCTCTTGGTCGCTTTGACCTGCAACCGTTCCCGTTCCCTGAGGTCCGCTAGCGTCTGCGGATTTGCGGAGTTTCGACAATCACGATTGGGCAGTTCTAAGATTTGACTTCGCTTTTTTCGTGTTAGCTCTCAACATCCGACAGCCAGCGGAGTATATCTATTCTTTTATGCCGTCAAGCTCCGCAACCTTACCGATCACGCGCAATTCTTTCAAGAGGGGCGAATGTGTTACCATGGTAAGCAATTTACAAAACTCGTGCCACCGACAACGGAAATAACGCGCCGTAGTGTTTTCTTCACGCCGAAAATCATGCCTAGTGCGCGTCCAGTCGAAGTGGAAATGCAAACTTCCCGACCATCCGATAGTGCGGACTGGGTGCGACGTCTGTTGGAAGGTAACGGATTTTTGAAATTGAAGGATATTTATTTTGGGCATTCACTTACTCATTCCCCATCAAAAAGGCGTGTTAGTGCAAAGGGACTTCCTACCGCCCCGAAAGCGTGAAACCAGGCCGCCCCTGAACACAAAGGGGCTCTTATCTGCTGGTGGCTGCGACAAGACGATGATGACTGAGTTTTCTTGGATAGAGAGCTAACTATGGGGAAGGAAGGGCTTATGTGCCCCTGGAAGCACCTCACATCTGTGACAGCCAGTTTGTGAAATACCTATTGTGCGGTTCTTATTGTTAACGCGAACAATAGCCTTTTCGTTACATGATGGCAAACAACCGAATGTTTCACTGATAAAAAGCTGGGATCTAACCCGTCACAAAATGTATATCTTCAATCCAGAAAGACTTCATAACGAACCGTACTCCGCTCCCTCTAAACCATATTTAATAATGTGGCTGTGTCCCAACCATTCCCCGGTGGCCTCTATCCCCTTTAACATGGCCATTATCAGTACACCGAGCTCCTCTAAATCACCTGGCTTCGCCTTTGCTATTGCCTCGTCCCAATGCGTCACCCGCACTTCGAGCCGCTCCCTCTCGCTTTGTGCTTTCCGCCAACTGATTTCTGACTGCGAATTCCAAAGCGCGGTTTGGGCCGTGAAGCTCATTCGCAGGTCTGGAACTGTGTCGTAGCCGAGTTTCAAGAAATCGTATACTCCTTTCAACATAAACGCTGTTATTACAGTCCGTCGGCTACTCTCCTCGATCAGCCAGCGCTGCCAGTCCGTAAAAGTGCTTCCCGGCAGAAGTCGCGCTTCAGCTGGAGCCAATGGAGAAGGCTGCACTTGACGCGTGCGTGACCTAAGGTGTGCCGCCCACATTATGAGAACTGGCTCGTCCGCTTCTGCTTGGGCCCTAAGGCGAATGTCACCGTCCAACAGTCTTATTATCTGGTATAAAATCAGCGCTTGCAGCGCTTCAAGGAGATCCATCTTGGAGGCGCGGAGCGGATCAGTGTTGGCGATCAGCTGTTGCCGTCTGTGCTCCAAGTTGCGGAATACTAGTCCCTGATTCTCTGTGTTTTTCAAGTAATACAGAGCGCAAGCGCTGAGCGCATCCTGTAAAGCCGGAGGGGTTCTTTCTTGGAATAAGAGACGGTGGATGAACATCGTTTGCCCTGATTCGCAAAACGTTTTCGGAACCACAGCTAACCTCCTTGCTGCAAACTCTACGCGAGCCTGTGCAGTTGTATCCGTGCTAATCTGCCCGATATCGGTTGGGTATTGCTGAGCGACGATATCTTCGATGACAGCAGAGCTGAGGAAACAATCTTGCGGTATGCTTGCCATGCTGAACGGATTATTGCCAACGTTGAAGAATGCATCATTCATGCAGGGCGAGAGTGTTGCCGCTGCCGGTAGCGCGGGACTCCGTTGCAGTTGCCAATCACCGGACAGTTCCTCCGCAAAGGGCCCCGCAAAGGGGTCCGCAAAGGCAGCATTTTCTTCTACATTTCTTTCGGTAGTTTGCCGCAATCGGTCGGGATATCGGTCGTTATATTCGCAGTCAGTCTTCTTTGCAAGGCAACGTTGGCATTTGGGTAGTCCTTTATCGCATTTCCGCTTGGACTGAGCGCATGCAAGACAAGACTTCCGGCGTGACGGGGGCATCGTAGCAAAAACTTTCCATCGTAGGTCGTCTGCGGAGTTGGTGAAGTCCGTACTCGAGTAGAGGTGATGAGGTAATGTTGCGGAGTTTCGCGGCGTGGCGCGGGATTTTAAGCTTCCTCCGCTAGCGGCGGTTGGGCCTTGGCCGCAAAGTTGCACACAAACAGTGCGAGATAGCTGGTGTCCGCAAGCCCTATTGGTCATCTACCTTGAATTGGGTCCCACACCTGACACAGCAATTCAACGTTCCGAGCGGGATATCCTATCAATCTTTCTCTACATCCACATATGCGCATGTAAATGCGCAGTTTGAATCGGAGATATAACTGTCCCGTGATCGATGGCGCGGGGGCTTTTCGAGGCAGAAAGTAAAGGGAGGCGAGAGGATTCACAATAGAGTAGATGTCTATAAAGGCCACCACAGCCATTCATTGCCCTCATCTTGCTCAGCACTGAAGTCTCATTCCCAAGTCGTCTACCGTCAGACCCTTCTGCTTCAGCCTATATTATTTTCCACTACCTAGCATCTACTCTATCTAGCGTCGAATTAAATATGCCTACCACCATCCTGATCACGGGTGGAAACCGCGGTATGCACCTTTGACCCTCTTTCTTATGCCCCTCTCATCATTTTCACAGGACTTGGCAAAGGACTCGTAGCCACATACCTATCTACTCCAAACACTACGGTGATAGCGACGGTCCGCGACCTATCCAACTCCGAGTCTCTGTCTGCTCTTCCTAAGGCCTCGGGATCTAGCCTGTTAATCGTCAAGCTTGAGATAACGTCTGCAGACTCTATAGCCGCCGCTATAGAAACGTTGAAGAGGCACAACATTGGTGCTCTCGACATTGTCATTGCAAATGCTGGCATCTCTGGGCCGACCATCAGTCTGGTTGAAGCATCCGTCGTTGAGCTCCAAAAGTACATTGACGTGAACGCATATGGCCCGTTCGAGCTATTCAAAGCTGTGCTCTCTCTTTTACGCTCTTCCAGTGCGGAGAACAAAGCGAAATTTGTCTTGATCTCGAGCGCCGGCGGAAGTTTGACGGCCATGTACAACTTCAGTACGTAATATCCCAACACTAAGTCGGTGGGTCTTGTCAGATTAACTACTTCCGAGGTAGAATGCTGGCTTTGTATCCAAACACTTACTTTGAGGGACTGCGCTGACTTCGTACCTCCACATTAAGTGCCTATCCCCGCGTACGGAGCGAGCAAGGCTCTAGCTAATTTCCTTTTCAAATGGCTGGCGCTAGACAATAAGGATGTGATCATTTGGGCACAAAATCCCGGGTGCGTATTTTTCATGTTGAAGCATCACCTGTTGGGGGTGAAGTTTGCTAATTACATTTCCCGTATAGAAATGTGGACACTGATATGGCTCGGGATGGTCTCGAGCTCTCAAAGAGTTTAGGGTTCGATCTATCTTCAGTGTCCTTTGCCCCTCCCGAAGAAAGTGCGCGTGCAATAAAGAAAGTGGTATGTGTGGTCGAGTGAAGACGGAGATATGAATGTGGTTGAAGCGACTGACTGGGAAATTAACAGATTGATGGTGCGACTGCGAAGATGAGCGGGAAGTTCCTCGACCATGATGGCTCTGAGTTGGCATGGTAGAAGATGAGCAGTTAACATCGTGGGAAAATACGCGGGGTATAGTCGGATTCTTGTACAGTTGAGTCTCATAACCTTACTGAACTCAGAACATCCCGATTACTCCCCGGCGGGAATGTACAAGGCAGGATATATCGGCTGTCCCCAGGCCTCATGTAGAGTAGACGTCGGGACCAATCCCGATCGTTATTTATCCCTGCAATATGACGTCGGTACATCCGAGGATTAGCAATTAAGCGTCCAGTAATTGAAACGAAGAAACTACACACATCCTGTGTATAGAGTCTCTTAAAATATTTTGTTCACCATCAATCAAATTTATTCAAAGCAAAAATGCCAAGCCCAACAGTGACCCAACGTCGCGCCTTCCGGCGCACTGACGACTATACTCCCGGCACGCCCAAAGTCAAGCTTGTACAGGAAGCGCTCCAACTGCCACTCTCACCAACAGCCGTCTTGATCAAGGTTCACGCTGTGGGTCTCAACTACCGCGATGCGAACATCGCGAACGGCGGAAACCCTTGGCCAATAATTCCCAACGGTATCCTGTGTAATGACGCAGCGGGTGAGATTATTGCCGTCGGCGAGAAGGTAAAGTCCTTGGTAGTGGGTGATCGGGTCGGGCCTATCACGGACACGGAGAATATTTCTGGACGTGAGGTGAAACGGTCGTGGCTGGCAGCAGATGAGGATGGGGTCATGGCAGATCATATCATTTTTGACGAGCGCGTTTTATGCAAACTACCAACCTACCTCGACTGGGTCGATGCTTGTATAATCCCTTGCGCGGGTGTCACTGCTTGGTCGGCGTTGAAGGGCATGAGTATTGGCCAGACCGTGTTGATTCAAGGTATGCATATCTGTATCTGGGCCCGGATTATCGCTGACGAGTTAGGAACCGGTGGTGTCAGTGTTTTCGCACTCAAGCTTGCAAGGGCTGCAGGTCTTCGAGTGATTTTGACTTCCTCGAGTGACGCGAAGCTTCAGCAAATGAAAGAAAAATTCTCGCATCCACCAATTTTGACTGTCAACTACTCCAAGATACCTGACTGGGATCGGGAAGTTATGAAGCTTACCGGAGGCACTGGTGTCGATATCGTTGTTGAGAATGGCGGAACCGGGTCCTTGGTCAAGAGTCTGAGGTGTACTCGACGCGGTGGTGTGGTCAGTCAGGTCGGATATCTTTCTAAACAGGACCCCAATGACCTACGGGAACTGGTCCCAACTATCATTGACAGGAGAATCAATCTCAGGTGAGATATTGTTACTCGACCGTCAGACAGCGAAAACTAATGTAAGATAGGGGCATAAATGCTGGTTCCAAGTTCGATATGGAAGACTTTTGCGCTGCTCTCGAGGCAGCCCAAACACCACTCAATGATCTAATTGATAAGGTTTTCCCATTCGAGCAGGCTGATGATGCTATCGAGTATGTCTGGCAGGGTAAACAGATTGGAAAGATAGTCCTCCGCCTTTAGATCGGTATATACATGACTATATAGATTATAAATGCGATGGATTGATGCTACATGAAGCACATAAAAGTTGAAATTGAATTCTGGATGAGCAACAATCGTGTTGCACTTGAAAGAGATGCTAAACGTTTTTTTAAAAAAGATTAACGCGCAGGTATCAAGAGAGTAAAAAGAAAAAAGAAAGCAAAACAGCGATTCCCAACCTCTGGGACTGAAATTCAAGCTCAGCTTTATTGTCAGTTCACCAAGGATTCAATCGATTTCCAAAGCAGCTTCATAGTCACTTTGGGTATTCCAAACGAGGTCAGGGTGAGGAATGGCGTCAAAGTACAAAGCCAGATTGGTGTAATGTCGTCGAGCATGGTACGGTCAATGCAACCGACCACGTTGTCAAGCTGTTCGATGCCACACTGGTATGTTGCAATTTAGTATGTTTCGTTAACGTATCGCAGTAACCACGTGGAATAACGATGCTTGGATCAGAGACGTGGAGGAACGCGCGGGGCAGATCGGGCATATTTACGAACTGGAGGTTCGAATCAACGACGTTGACCGACTGGGAATCACAGGGATCATATAATCCACGACTTCGCATACCGAAGGTTCAATGATCTACAAGAAAGGAACTAGGATACTAAAAAAGTAGTGGATATTCAGAAGAAATTTGCCGTTCGAAGAAGCCTTAAAGGGGCAGAGCCATCAACCAAAACTGCATACATTTTGTGAAGAAAAGGCATCTGTTTTCATAGCGGTCCGTGACCTCTGGGCGCAGCAGTTTCATCACCGAGTCCCAGCTCTGGATAATCAGGCAATTTCCAGCCTCCGTCTCTATCATTCGAGAAACGGGATATAAGGTCAGGTATCCGAAGGAAGCAAACGATCCCAAAGATAAAGTGGATAATAGCGATCGCCCACTGGGAGTCCGGAACAGCCAATCTCAGCAACAACAGGTTGACATCCTGAGCCTCATTGATCAACGGTCGAAGTTTCCCGTCATAGGATGTGAATGCCCGAGACAGATCATCGCTACTGCGCGCAATCTCGCCAGCCAGAACATATGCTCCCACTAAGCTGCTGGTAGTTCCCATGCCAGTCAGTGGAGAAGGGCAATGCGCCGCATCACCGAGAAGTACAACCCGGCCTGAATGCCAGGTGTCTGTTCTGATTTGGACGAGATCTAGACAAAACCAATTTTCAGTCGTCTTCATGCCCTCCAGGAAGCGGTCAGTTTGCCATCCCGCGCCGCGGAATTTCTGCGTCCAGAACTCCTTTTGTTGTTCGATTGATGCTCTTGGGATACTTCGCAATTCATCGGAGGCCGATCTCAGGAAGAAACACACATTCGATTCGGTGGCACTGTGGCTTCTTCGCATGATCATTCGGCCGCCGGGGCTGAGGTAGGAGCTGCAAATGCTACTGTCAGTTTCGTCTCGAGGAATGAACCAGTAAGCCATGTGCAACCCCAGTGGGCGATACGGATCCGGGGCATCAGGGGGTAAGATATCTTTTCGGATTCGTGAGCCCTGGCCATCGGCTCCAACGAGAATATCAAACGTGTCGGTTGTGCCATCCGAGAACTGCGCGGTGACTTTCTCGTCATCCTGTGTGAAGCGATCAACCGTTTTGCCAAAGATATATTGCACTCTGTCTTTTGTTGCTTCATAGAAAATTCGAACAAGATCTCCTCGCATGATCTCATACTCAGAGGTCAGAGATTGTGCTCCTTTCCCGGACTTATTGGCCAGAATGGTTCCTTTGACTTTTCCATTCGTATCGACGAAGGACATCCCCTCCTCGTCGACAAGTTTGCTTCGAATGGCCTCAATAAGCCCCATGCGCTTAGCAACTTCGATACCTTGTCCCCGAAGATCGATTTGGGCGCCTAAGGCTCTCAAGGCGGGGAAACGTTCAACGACGACGACTTGATGCCCAATACGAGATAGCCAGAAGGCCAGAGCGGGGCCTGCAACGCCTCCGCCAACGATGAGAACTTTCAGAGGTGCCATTCTGCTGCGTCCGTGGGAGAAAAGTGAACTCGAGAGTTGCGTAACAAAGAGGGTTCTTTTTAAATAGTTTGTGTCAGTTGAGACTAAACCAGCTGATTTGCGGACATTTGCGCACAATCCCGCTGTTTTACGGGATTACTTGTTTACATCTGACATCATATAAAAGTTCAGGCTGAGGTTACTTCGTATTGCTTACGGTCGGGAATGTTGCATATTGAGACAATATGGGGTCAAAGCTATATAGCGAGCTATGTAAGCAGGAGATGAAACTTAGGAGGCAAATACAGCAGCGGACATTAATGTGTACACAGTGCCATGAAATATTGGACACCTTCTGCACGAAAGCCTCGAAGCGAGTATACCGTTTCATGCGTTGTTTCCGCCCTACTTGGCCTCTCTTTTTCAGCTCTTTTTTGCCTACTTTCGAGTGCTTCGGGCTGATCATATAGTTAATACAGAGGGAGAGGTGTGAGAGGGCTGATGACCCCTGTTGCATATACACACAATGAAGAGCTGCGTAGGGATGCTGCTCAACCGCAACAATATACGGTTAGAGATTCAGCATCCGTGCAAAACTTCCTAAGCTGACCGCAGGTCCATATTGCAGATAGCTCCACCTAGATTAGCACGGATCCCTTTCCCGCCTTGTTGAGAAGATCAACAACCTCAGAGTCACAAATTTCCTCATCCAAAGGCCCAAGACCCTGATCATCTGCAAGATTTGGGTCAGCGCCCTTTTCCAGCAAAGACCTAATAATATCCTTGCTAAAAGGAGCACCGTTAATCAGGCTAATCACAGCCAACCGCAGTGGTGTCCTCCCATAACCATCCTTCAGATTTGGGTCAGAACCCTTCTCCAGCAAATATTGCACTGCTCCATTCTGCCACCAGTTGTAACCCCTAGCCAGCATATGCAGGGCACCATAGTCATGATAACCCCAGATACAATTCCAGAGCTGTCCTTTTGCATTGACATTGGCGCCATATTTCTCCACCAGTAGACGTAGTATTTCCATATTTGGTTCACTTCTTGTGGCTGCAGTGAAGAGGTATGGGGGTACTCCACTCAGACCATGTAGCCATTCTTTGTCCTTAAGCGATTCAGCGATAATGTCAAACAGAAAGACATATCCGCCAAGGACTAGCTGGGAAAGCAGGTCGGTACTTTTCTGTTGGGATTTGTGAACTGATCCGGAGATTCCAGAACCAAGAGGAAATGCGATGCCTGACTCGATGCATTTCTTGATAACTCCATAATGCCCTCGAAGAAATATAGATGTGACACGCGACAATGGGTAGTGGAATGGAAGCCTACCAACGTCAAGATCGTAATCTCCCCTTAATTGCGGTTCGTCGCCCATGGCTTGTTCGAGGAAGCAGATTATTTCCATCATCTGGCCAGCATCATTCGGTTGCGAGTTGGGTCCACAACAGATACGAGTATCTTGGAAGAGGCTCGCTCGGTTGTGTTGATTCTCCAAAAGGTTGACGCTAGCTTCTTCAACTTGGTCAATGAGATTGTGACATAGATCCAGAGGTGTGGCGCCGGTATTATCTTGGACGTCAAGTTCCGCCCTAGCTCCAACAAGAAGACGCACACATTCCATAGACCCGGATTGGCAAGCTTCGTGGAGGGGTGTATGGCCGTTATAATCGCGTTGGTTGAGAAGCGAGCCCAAGGTGAGCTTTCCTCGACAGTCGTCGATAAGCAGACCAATATTGTTGGCCTCCCGTGCTGATGCAGCAAAGTGCAAAACATTTCGCTTCAACGATGTTTGGTTGGAAGTTGAAACACCTCTGGCGACGAGCTTCGTCACAAGAGATTTTGAATTGGCAGCAGCGAGATGGATTGGCTCTACACCCGCGCTGTTTGGCAATTGGAGGAAATCGAGATTACCAGAGGAAAGTAAGAGCTCAATGCCTTCGTCGTTTGGCCAGTCAGAGCTGTTTGAGTTCAATCGTGTTGAGCAAAGAGTGTGTAGAGGGGTGTTTCCATCTTTGTCTTCGTGTGTACTTGGAATTCCGTAGTCAAACAACAATTGAAGGATGTTGTGTGGGAGGTTTCCAGCTTTTGTGTAATTGCAGCTCATCAGGATATGCATCAGAGTTTCACCAGAATGATTGACGAGAAGTGGATCGGCGCCCAAATGCACCAACCCTGTCAGCATTGCAGGTGGCCATAGACCGGGATGGTTCGTGAAGCCTAATGGCCCTTCCCGTACCACAAAATGGAGCACACCATTTCCATCGTTATCGACAGCGTGGATGTCAGGATGAAATTCTCTCACGAAATCGCAGACAACTCCATGTCCATCGGTTTTCTTGCTTGTTTTTATAATCAAATGATGTAAAGGAGTTCTGCCTTGAGAGTCTTTTGCATCCAGGTTGGCTCCTGCACCGAGAAGAAGCCGAATTATAGGCCCTTGGCCTAGACAAAGCTTGGGATCATAGCGACTTATGATAAGATGTATCGGCTGAATGCCTTGATTGTCTTTGCATCGAACATCGGCCCCCAATTTGATCAAATCTGCCACCATTCTGTATGCCGGCAAAGGTGTCCAGCTCATAATTTGATGCAAGACAGTTTCTCCCTTGTTATTGGCAACACTCCAATCAGTCACATAAGGGGCTAAAAGGCCCAGATCCATATCATGCCGGGATCGGAACTGATGGTGGAGAGGGGTGCTTCCATCAGTCCCACAAGCTGTATCCATTCTTCGTCCAAGTTTCGTGAAAAGCTGAATCATGGCCATACTGTCGCTATCCGCACCTGGCTGAACTAGAGGTTGAACTAGTGCGAGAGGGATGAGACCCGCATTATTGGCAGGAAAGGGGTCTGCGCCATGCTTTAAAAGCGTCTCCGCCACCATGGCGAGGTTACTGCCTGCACAGAAATGGAGAGGCGTGTTACCATCATAGCCCCGAATATTTGGGTCGCAGCCAGCATCCAGAAGCAATTGACAACACTCTTGGGCGCGCTTTTGGGTCTCTGCTGGCTTCGTGGATGCAGGGCGTGTATTGACACCCG